CTTGCCCCTGGAAGAGGCTTCACTGTGAGTGGGAGACACAGCAGCAGTGTCCCTCTGTGCCATGCCCCCACACTCTGGCTGCACCACCTTTGCTCCCATCTCTCCTGCCCCCTGAAATATTGCTTTCCTGCTTAATCTCACTCCTACCCCACAGCCCAAAGCCCCCAAAATCCTCTGCACACCCAAGCATCCCTGAGCAGTACTAATCCTCTTCTGCTGCACCAGAGAGGCTGGGGCAGCCTGGAGCAGGGGCAGGAGGGGGGCACTGTCCAGCTGCACCCCACATCCTCATTTTTACTCTCTTAGGTGAATGAGTAGGGTGTTTACAGCACTGGAAGAACAGGAGCCCTTATGCTGGTCTCTGGGTGTGGGAAAGCAATGGCTCTGGTGCGGCTCCGTGTCTCCAAGGGGTACAGCCTGGACGTACAGACAGCCCTAGCGGCAGGATGCTGGTCCCTTGGTTCTCACTCAGTAGCATGGGTGCCTGCACTCCCAGCCCCCTCAGATGTGCCTAGGGACAGAGAGAAGCAGGGGGCTCAGCTGGGGGCTGTGTTGGGCATGACGCTGTGCCATGCCATGGGGGGGGCTGCGCAGCATGGCCAGGAGTCTAGGCGGGCTGTGAGGCCAGAGACAGTGTGACAAACAGCCAGAGGCAGTGCCTGCCTTCTGCCCTCATTAAATCCCCCTAACAAGCTCAGCACTGAGCCCTGGGGCCCAGCTGGACTCAGAGCCAGTCATTACTGCTGACAAGGATCTGTCAAAGTGGGAGATGTGGTATGTGTCCCGTCCCCATAGAGCTGGGGACACCTACCTCCTTAAACCTTTCCAGTTCCCCTTGGGCCCTTTCCTTCGAGCCAGGTGGGAATGCAAATGTGCCCTCCCCCCATGTGCTGGAGCAGGATGGGCTCCCCCTCCTTGCCCATACTGCTGCTTGGGGATGGGGTGAGACTCGAGGTGCCGGGAGCTGTGTGAGGACCCTGGGACTCCCACAGCAGCACTTCTGGGGCCACCAGGAGAATGCAGAAGAAAGGAAGGGGCACAAGGAGAGAGTGCAGGCAGCCCTGTAGAGAGAGGCATTGGACCAGGTGGGAGGTAGCAATGGCAGAGCACTCATCCAGGGTGAAAGGGAGCAAGACTGTGGGACAGGACTGCTGTCGAGCCCTGGATTTCCCCCTCCAAGCTCCTCTCCCAGGACCCGCCTGGAGCAGGAGAGATGGAGGAGGATGACAAGCATCAAGCGCAGCCTCCCCCGCCTCGAATCCCTGAGCAGCGCTGCTCCTTCCCGGGAGCACCCTGGCACAGATAAGGAGCCCCGGTGATCCCCAGAGCACATTTAATCTGGGACAGGACAGTTATTGGATAAATACCATAAATATGTAAATTGCATTTATGCTGATGTATGGCTGGGGGGGCAGGTGGGGAGGCGAGATGGTTTAGTTTAGTTTAATACATTTATTTCCCTGCCTCGAGATGGAGAACAATCTCTGAGCACTGCATCTGCCAAGTCAGAGGAGATGATTCAGGGAGAGCCATGCAGACAGGAGCAACCCAGGGCCAGGCTGGATGTGAAGGGACTCACCTATGGTGGGCAGGCTGTGGAGCGCACCAGCTGGACATCTCCACCTCCCTCCACACTCCTTGGACCTCACTGTCCTTAAATGAACCCCAGAAGGGGTGCACAGGAGGCAGGACCCCCCCATCCCCTCCATGCCAGTGCTGCTTTCCTGGGATGATGTATGGATCCAGCATGACACCAGTGGTATTTCAATTAATTTCTGGGCCTTACAAAGACTCCTGACCTTTCATGAGATGTAGAGAGAAATTGAGGCGATTGATCTGATGGGTCAGGGTGGTTCCTCCACTCTGACATTCTATGTGTTACATAGGGTTGGGGTGGGTGGCAGACCCCTTTGCATAAACCAGCTGCAGAAGATTTAGCAGTGAGATGCTGAGTGTCCCCATGCCAGCAGAGTAACAGCCCCTCTCTGCAAACAGCTAGGTCACAAACAGGCCATTTGCACCAGGAACAGAAAAAAAAACATGAGGAAACCCTAAACTTCTGCACATTAGCCACAAAACAGGGGAGTGTACATCACATTGCTTCTGGAGCACATGCTCCCTTGAGCACACACAAACATGTCCACACTAGGAGAGCATGCAGCAAGCAGCCCTCTTGGATGCAGAGCAGCAGACACGACCACTCAGCACTACCCATCCTCTCCATGACCCTCATCCCATTGCCCACGAGGTGCAAATCACTCTTCCCACCTCTCACTTACCATATAGCTGCCCCCCTCGAGGAGTGAGGAGGGCAGCACAGGACTGCAAGAGGCTGCATGGAGTACCTGGGCACCCCAGATATACATGGCAGAGCTGGGAGGGGAGGAACGGATTCACCTCTTGATTTCCTATTAACTGCTCATCAATCCAATTAGATACTGCATGGAATGAAGGCCATCTGCTTGGTAGGGCTGGGCCCCAGCACTTCCTCCCCATCCCAGAACATGTGCTATCCTGTGCAGCCACTAGAGAAGCCCATGATCGCAGCAGGGAAGGGATCTGGGGAAGGGAGGTTGATGAAAGGGGTTTTACCCAATTTTCCAGATGAGTCTAATTAAGTTGTTGTCTTCAGCTGTTAAATTAGCTGGAGTCCTCCCCCCATTCCATGGGTGGTTTCCCTTCTTCTCAGATGCAGCAAATCAGCTTCCAGCCAACCCTCGCTCCGCTCCGCCCCCCCCTCCCCCTGCAGGCTCTGTAAATAAATAGATAGTCCCAGTAAAATTAACCATATGAGGAGCTGCAAATGAGGTGGAAAATTTTAATGGCTTGGCATTTAAAAGCTGTCTGACAGGACTCAGGGATGTGAGTGGGCAGGGAGGAAACAGTCTTAGGAGTGTTGTATTGCCCTCCTCCTGCCTCCATCCCCAGGCCTCTCCTCGATTTTGATTATTCTCTGCTGTCCTGGAGCATCCCATTTCCCAGCTAGTGGCTGAGATGCTGGGCCTCAGGGAGGAGTTCCAAGGAGACCAGGCATCTGTGCCTCTGCCCTCATGCCCAGCAGCAGACTGCAGCAGTCTCTGGGACACCCCCGGGGTCTTTGTGGTGCCAATGTGACCAGAGGTTAACCTGGGCCAATTCGGAATGGTCAGAAGTAGCAGGTGACTGGGGCAGAGGGCCATAAACGAAATTAGCTGGCAGCAAGCCCTTGGGTGAGGGGGTCTGGGGTGGGTGGTGGGGGCTTCCCTGCTCCATCACCAGGAGCTGCTCCTGAGCACCAGCAGCCCTGGCACAGCCCACTTGGCCAAAGAAGCCCCTCCAAAGCCGCGGGGGAAGCAGAGCCATCTCCATAACCCCACCGAGGCGTCCCTATGGCCACCCCATCACTTCAGCGAGGGCACGTCCACCTCGATGCATTGACATCTCCTGATGATTCTGAAGGCAGGGGAGGCAGAAGGGAGGGCATCGCAGCTCCGGGACTAGGGGAGCCCCTCCCCACGCCCTTGCCGGTGGTCTCCTTGGGGCGGCCCTGGTGGCGGGGCGCAGGGCTGCGGGACGAGCGAGCGCCCCTCGCTTCGGGAGGGGCCGGCAGCGCTGCGACGCCCTCCCGGGAAGCTGGGCTGGGGAGGATAGCTATTTTGTTCCTGAATTCCCCCGTCCCCTCCCCAGCTCGTTAGCGACTGCCCGAATGTGAACATCCATGGCCGTGCCGGGGGTGACAAGGACGAGGCTCCCGCCACCTGCATAGCAAGCAGCCGGCCCCGGTGGCCGGATGGG